CAGAGTCACTGTTCCTACAATATAGATAAAGAAAAACTCCTAATACAATTATATTTCAATCAAACGCCGGATTCCTTATTATAACGCGTGCATTTCGTCTGATTTGCCTGCGCGCACTTGACAAAGGTCGCCTTTTAATTGTCATTTATCCGAACGCCGGATCTGGGTTGCGTGACAAACTTTATTTAGTGTCGTAGGCGAAATGGCTGAAGCGTGGGTGAAAGTGCATCAGCGTTCCCACGTGATCCCCCTAGTCACCCTCCTTTTTCATTTCTTAATCAATCGCGGTCATAACCCTGCCTACCTTTCCTTTACTGACTTTAATGGGTTTCTATAAAAGGAGAAGCACGTTGCAGCACATCGCCACGTCGAAGACACGCAGTCGCCGGTAGTGACCAAATAAAAGTGCTTGACGATTTTCCTTGAAATTTACCCTATATTGTGGTGGCCAATTCTTGCTATATAACAATATATTGCGTGTTATCGACGGTGATTAATAACCCTTACTTATCCGAATTAAGTTTATCCTTCCGCATTTAATTAAGTGGAAAAAAACAACTTCACTTTTTATTCCTAGAAGCGTCTTTCCATCGGCAACCACGCATTGATCGTCATACTCAGAGTGCATCATCAAGAAAAATGCCATTTCGTAAACGAGTTGCCTGCTGGAGCCGCTGTACAGTCTCGTTTATCTTCCTTATAGTTGCTGTAGTAAAAGGACAGCTTGTAGCTAACAACGATTTTGAGCTGGCATTATCCGAACACGTTCCCCTAACGTTATTATTCGTTCTGTCTTATTTTTTCGTGGTGATAGATGAACAAAGTGTGTCCAACTTTGCCAAATCCATAGCATGTGCGCGCGTCAACACTTGGCTTACTCTCAGCAACGTGTGCTGCGATATCCTTACCAAACGAGGCGGCACTTCGCGTCTCCTGCTCAACAGACTGCGTGAAGTGTGTAGCGTTTTTCAGCTTCGGCGAGGTAGTCGAATTAGTTTTTGTCCTACTCGGACATTGGCACCGGGTCAACTTTTTTTGCATAGTCTGAAATTATGTATAGAGCCTATGCGTCAGCGCCTCTACATGCATCACTTACCCCGGAAGCAAGTTGTATTGAAGCTCGAGCCATCTTCTCTTTGAATAGTTTTTTAGCAGCGGACAGCTTGATTGACCGGAACGCATTAAATTTTAGTCTTGAATGTCTGATACTGTCAGTAGATAGCTAATAAAAGCTTTGGAGTCTGGTGCCACCATGTCTTGACCTGCTTGTTATATTATTTCTCGGCCGCAATAATAAGGCAGTGACCGAGCAAGTTGGTGTTTATGTCTTTTATCAATTGCATCTACATGACGCTTGAGCGTGCTACCATCGCGTATAAACGCCTGTTCACGGAATTGAACCTTAAGCCTGATCCAATGGCTCGTGCCCAAAACATTTTAAAATTTCCTGCATTTGTAAGCGCTACCACCGAACCACACATTGCCCGCTCGGTGTCCAGCTCCATCTTTTGCGCGTAAACTTAAGCAGCCGAGTGCTCCGAGCTCAAATGCAGTGCATGCACCCGTGATGCTCCTTGCGGTGCCATTTATTTAAGCTGCGCTTCATCTTAGCCTAGTCCATGATGTAGGACTCTTGCGCGACAGTATCCAGTTCTTAGGCGCACTTGTAATATCTGAGTGCATCTGCATGCAACAAAGCGCAACAGCAAAAGTTGGCAAGCACAGAGCGAAAATCTTTTGACTCAGTGGCGCCTATTATTCGCTTGTCTGCATCGATCTTCTGCTCCAAAGACCCCCATCTGCACTATGCACGCTTAGAAGTCGACGATGGTCGCGTGTGTCCGCGCGTTGACGTCATCGCTTTTTTCGTGGGGCCTCGGCCCTCATTTGACCACCGCTGGAAACGCTATGTCCTTCTTGTGGCTGTCATCAAGTTTGGAAGGCGTTCACGTACTTGGCGCACCGTCGAAACCAGTCGAAGGCAAATAATCTGCTCAAGAAGATGCGGTAATAGATATAAACAATCACGTACATGTAGCTCTTAGTTAACTATTAAGTGCTACCTCGGAGTCACTTAATTTACACAAAAGACCCACTACACTATACTCACTAATTTAGCCTTGCCCAATAACTGATGAAGTAACCTTCGTTAATGACCGTCATAGAGCCTGTTTTTCTGCTTATGCCATACAGGCGCCCAGCAGTGGGATCCCATGACTTGTCAATAGTTCAAATCATGTTCATAACGAGTTTGATAGGAGATCCACTGACAGGTCGCACGATATGAATGGCTCACGCCTCATCGATTCAATGAATATTATTTTGACATACAGCATTGTCCCGTTAAGTGCTGTTATTGCTGATTTGATTAAACACTTTCACCGTTGATCTTTGTGGTATATCCTTCCGAAAAATAATTCTTCCTTTTATGAGTTAACTTAAGACTGCTGCTGCGTTCTTAAATTTAAAAGAAATTCTTCGCATCGATGATGCAATTGGTTTACGCCTTTGTGTCGAGATAGGTGTGATTCCAAGCACATTTACGACGTATAAACTTAGTATGTCATTTGTGGTAACTAGAGCGCCGACATTTTCTTACCAACAAGCAATGTTTCTTGTGCACCGAGTTAACACCTGTACACAATTACTCTACAGCTTTTAACTCAGTACACACAGTAATCGCATTCGATGTACTACCCAAATTCGTGAGTTCTAGTTGAATTAGTCATAAATGCTAATTATAATCGCTCGTCATGAGCATTTGATACACGACAGTTAAATTTTTCTATTCCAATCTCAATGTTGCAAACACAAAATTAACATGGCTTGCCGTTAGCTACCACAAATTTGAAATAATCAAAAGCACACAAGTTTCCAATAATTGTCCACAAGCGTCAACAATTCCTTTTAATAATCAGTACCAGTTATATCGTGTATCCGCACCAAAGCACTGCCACCAAAACCTTACACATATTAGCAGCAAGCTAATTTGTAAGGTGAATGTCGCTAATAGCCCATCACTGGTATGTTGTTGCCTTATGGTGACAAGCTGCCATCACATTTTAGCTTGATTACTGTGTTTCCTGTCATGTGATCCCCTGGGAAGACATGTGATAGAATGATAAAATGCATAACATAGTCGTGCGCTAAAAGTGTATATGTTACCACTCTTAGACATATATTTTAAATTTTAGCGTTCCACATGCAATTACCACACGACGTTGACGACTTCTCATCAAAAGGAATTTGGTGCATCCAAGCACCCACGGATCAAAACTTAATTTTTTCGTGGTAATTCAAAGACATTTGTTAGGCGGGTAAAAAACGACAAAGCATGTTAACACTGTTGCCTTGACCGTACGCTGTATGATTGCTAAATTATGCGTGATTTGTTCTACGCAGATTTACTCTGAGTCGGGGTTCACATGCTGCTTCAGTAGAATCCTGCACTAGAATGTTTCAGTATTGAATGAAATGGTCAGATTTCTTCTGCGTTTGACACTTTTTGTTGTTGGCAGATGATTTTTGCTAACATGTCAATGGCATGAAATGCGTTTGCCGTCAAAAACCATGCGGACAGTGCTTTTAAGAGTGAGATTTTCCGATCTTCAATTAGGGTGAGCTCGTGGGTGATCTTCCAGTTAATTGTTCAATCGTCTACTTTTTTTAACGCAAGAAATAGTCCGCCTATGTTTGCATTCCATTAAAACTGTAGCATATGGTAGATATTTGCAATAATTGAGATTATACGAACCTAATGCAAAAGGGGGAAAATGCGGTATATGTTGCACCAAGTAACCTAACAATCCCTTTGTTGATCTTGGTGCAAATAATGCGTGCTGACGAAGGTACAACGAGCAGATAAGATAATATCAAGCTTTAAGGATTTGCTGAACATTGTACATCACGTCCGTGCTTTTAATATTAAAAATTAGTGCTTGGAGCGGTGAGCAGCTGGTGAGCATGTCGACTCTGTAAAAGCAGCGCATGTTGTGGACATTTTGGATTGTTGTATGCAGTTCAGTTGCTGTCTTATTAAGGTGAGAAGGCGAGTGCGTTAATGCAGGCCAGCTTTTAACGGATGATGTAAGCCTTGCAGCTTGGGTTTATCCCCTCCCCCTATTTTGATGAGCCGAATGTGGATAACAGCTTCGTAGTCTAGCTTGCCCAATCAAAATCGACCTTCCCTTAGCTTGTTCGGTTATAATTCTAGTGTAAACGCGAATTGGTCTCTTCACTCTACGGCTGGCGGACATGCCCATATGGGAGCAACTATAGTCTAGCATTCGATCTTCTGACCTTTTAATTTTTCCTCCTTCGATCTCAAGCGCATACATTACGCGTACAGGGAAATTTTCATGTTTGCGTGCGCGTCAATTGATTTCTTTGCATCCCTGTAACGGAGGTCCCTTTGTTTGGGGTGCAACGAAACTTCACGTACACTAGTACGTGCAGAGGAAGCTAACCTACTTAAACATCTAGTTTGATCAAAGATAAAAAGAGAACTGTTTTTAATATAGTGAAGCTATCAAAATGACTTAAATCTTTCTCTACCTATATTAATCTACATTGTCATATGACGACAACCCGCTCACCACTCATTACGCGCGTCTAGCAGCGATTGGTGGTAACATTGGTTAATTTGTCTTTATCAGCCAATCTTTGAGAAGCAAATAAATATTATCTAAAAGATGATAATATTCCTCCAACATAATCCATCTTGGATAATAACAGGGAATTGTCACGCTAGACAATCTCCCTATTGACACCGTTTGGTTTCAATATCATGTAACGAGCTACTCCGTTACATAACCCCCCCCTTCAACCACCAAATACCCGTTGATTGAATTTAGTTAATTGAGACAGGGTCATCACCATTGGATCACACTGGGAAAGAAGACCTCTTGCTGGTTTATCCAAATCATTTTCCAGTTCCATCGCAAGGTAACGAAGTCCATGCGGTGCGCTGCCAAAGCAGCCAGAAAGGCGGTTGCGCACGCATGCGTGCAGCCGAAGAGAGTTCTTTTATTGCTTCTACAGCAAGTGGTAATGTGCCAGCTGTTGCAAGAAATTATCGGGCAGTGCCTGTTGCAACTAGTCCACGTGGTGAGTCACCACGTGCGACAGTGACATCCGCTGCGGCTGCAGCGGATGCTGCGACTCGCAATGCGGATGAGCCTGTAATAAAGCTCATTTCCTCTGGCGAGTCGGATGATGCATCCGCCTCGAAGGCGGCGCCTCCCACCTCCGGATCATCCGGGGCGGACACTGCAAAATCCAGGTTGACTGGCTCCGGTAAACGTGGCGGCATCGTGTCCGAGATCTTCGGAACGAGCGCTTCGTCTGACGAATCCCCGTCTCACGCAAGTCCATCTGACAATAGGTCGCGTGCTGATGGTGGTGACGCACCTATGCGTCACCACAAGAGAACCAGCTTGAGGGATCAAGTTGCTACTGTTGTCAGTGCTCATGCTCACACCACACAAGAGACCAGGGACCGCAATGTCCTGTGCCATGCTCCTCAAGTGGAGTCTCCTCGGATGCCATCATCCAAGGAGTCATATCGGCTGGCCGGTACTACCATTGAACGGGACCGAATCCCGTTGTTCGACTATACGAGGATCTGTTCTTCGAATTTCAGCACGGAAACTATTTGTACTGAGAAAGAATTGTACACCGATGCGTTTTTCAAACATCGTTGATATAATGACAACCGTGGTCGCGACGGTAAGGCCTTGGTGCAAGAATTGGAATACCGTCATCCATAACATCGAGTGCAGTGGCCGTGAGGCCTGGCTGGGTAAACTTGATGCAGCTCGCGTCAGGTTTGAAAAGCCTAACCCAGCCGGTGTACGATACAAGTTGCACCGACTGTTAAGAGAGGCAGGGTTACCCTGTCTCTCGTGGGGCGACCAGTGTCCAGGTTGCCTGGAAAATGCGAATCGTGCGCCTAGAAAGACCTATCTCCCTAATGTTCCCCACTGGAGGGCGTGCATCTCTTCTGAGATGGCCGAAGGGATTGACACTTTGCAGTTCCTGTACTCGCGTTCGGGAAGGTCGTTTCTGACGGCCCTTCTTCGAACGCAGCGGGTGGGTCTCTTCATATTGCTCGACGAGACCCAGAACATCTATGATCATCTGGGCACGAGCCCCCCAGCTGTCCCAGGCCGGTGGATAGCCACGCCAGCGGACGAGGTAACCTCGTTCGGAAGCCCTTCACGTTGTGGTGGTTCAAAGTACGCTCCACCAGAATGTAACGGGGTCACAGTAGCCATCGGCTAAATTAGTTGAAGAACTCTCAAGTGTGATATGGGAGACAAGTGTGGCCTTAGATTTTATATCGATAGAGAATACCGATTAGCCGGTATTTTCTGAGTTACGGTACTTATCTTGGAAGCACTTTGTACCGTCATCATTTGATGACTGAGTGATGTGCCAACCATCCATATAGTTCGAATAGTAATATTTTTATCAGTTCTAGTTTAGTCTAATATAGGGCACTTAAAGTAGGATTTTCCTTGATGTAAGATTTTTAAAAAAATTCAGTTCTCATTTTGAGTAAAAGTCCGTAGACCCCCCCCCTCCGCACGTTGCGCTTGACAGTTCCTTAGAACTGCCGTGATTTAAGATTACTTAGACTTTTGTATTCCCCTTGCACACTGTGAGTGTAGTTCCTTAGAACTACAGTAGTCTGAGCCAATAGCTCATAGAGTCCGCGCTAGTTCCGTAGAACTAGCCGAATCTTTAACTTGATATTTTAGCTCCTTAGAACTAATCGGCTACTAGCCCTCAAAACTGATTGGCTATTAACCGTAAGCCTCTGACTTAACCCGTAAAGTCTTCCTCTGACTTTAGATCTGTAGTATCTCCGCTACACAGAAAGCGTTGACCACCGCCAGAATCCACCAAAGGATGTGGTGGTGGCGGGAACACCTGATCTGGTTCGAGGGTCGGATCAGCTTGTTGATCAGGAACTGAACCGTGCACCCGATCAGTTACACGATGACCTGGCTCATGAATGAACTCGGCGTTATGAGCTTCATGACGTTGTAAAGGATAATTGCAATTCCTTAGCGCACGATCGTTCAACGATCGTGCCGCGTTTGCGTTTGCGTTCGCGCAACTGGAGAACGACCGTTCAATTCGTTCTCTTCGTGACGAGCTGACTGCAGCTCGTCAGGACGTCGATCAACTGCGTGAGCAGGTCGCTTCGCTAGTCAATCAGACTGGCTCGTTGAAACGGGACCACTAGAAGGTGGTCTCGGCCCTTGATCGCAGAGGTGTTCTTCGCCTCTCAAAACGGGCTCGTACTGATAGTACGGGCGGATACGTCCAATGTAAAACGTAGGATGCGTACGCACCCTACGAGGCAGTTCAATCGTGTTTGCGTTGCCCATGCGGCGCAACACATGAAATGAGCCGATACACTTGGGCAGTGGTTTGCTTCTGCCCACGTTCGTCACTGCGTGTTTTGGCAGATTTACTGTAGACATCAAAACTAAGCCTCCTCCATTAAATGAAAGAACATTTGCTCTTCCATGTTTGTCTGCGTTTCTTTTCTGTTTATCTATTGCATCGGCATTAGAATCTTGAACGAAGCGGACAACCTCTTCGCGAGTCAGCAGAAATTCCTCTGCTGATTCATCCTTGTCAACAGCAGTGCGCTGCGTGTGCACTGCTGAAAGAACGTTGTCTTCACCAGTGAGGGCGTCATCGTCCTCACTGTAGCAACCGCTGGCGATACTGAATATACCAGCATCGTCTTCATCATCATCATCGATTTCGATGTGATCGACATCGGCATCCATCACGTCGACACCATTGTCGACGTGTGATGAGCAAGAACCAGATTGGTTTTTGCTCGAGCGAGTCCCCTACATAAACTAGCATCACACTTTAAGAAGGTGGGTAAACGTGGATGGCGTAGGCCATTCACAAAGAGCGGTGTATGCGTTGTCGATACATGCACCGAGTTATTGATGGCGAATACCGCCATCGGCAAGAATTCACTCCAACTCGTAAGCGAGTGAACGTATCCTCGAAGTATCTCTTCGAGGACGCGGTTGACGCGTTCCGTCTGACCATTTGTTTCAGGATGGTCGGAGTCGACATCTTTAAACGTGTTCCAAGTGAACGGAACACGGGTTGCCAGAACTCCGCTGTGAAGCGGGGGTCTCTTTAGGACACGAGTTCACGGGGTAACCCGTGACGTCGGAAGATAGTATCGTAGTAAGTAGTATCGATGAAGACACGAGCACAGCCCTGGGCTGTGATTGACTATGGTACAGCAACAAGATGTACCATCTTGCTGAACCGATCAACGAACACAAGAATACCAGTATTTGTGTGAGCGTCTTTGGGAAATCCAAAGACGAAGTCCATCAATGCGGACTGCCAGCACTCTGCTGGAATCAGTAGAGACTGCAAGGGTGCGCGGGATGACGGACTAGGCTTCACCCGTTGACAAACTTCGCAAGCGCGAATGTATTTGCGCACAAACTCATACTGGCGAGGCCAATAGAAGTCACGACTTACCGTGACGTAAGTCTTTTCTCTACCGCGATACCCACTTGTTGGGCATCGTGACACTCTTACATGATGCGCAATCGCAAATCATCATGAGCGGGAACGACGACACGAGGTGTGTCGCCGTTGATTGTTGTATAGTACAGCAGTCCATCACGAATCGAATACCGTTAGGTTGAAGAGCGGTATTGAGACGTCAACCTTTTCAAAGCTTGACTGCACGGATTTGATACATAATACATCAATCGCAGAAGGGACTCATCTTCTGTGTATGATTTTCGCACGTCGCCGAGCAGATTCGACTGCGAAACACTCACTGATAGTGCTGCAACAGTGGGATCACCCCTACTGTTGGGTTGAGCAGTCGGCTCCAAATCTTTCCGACGCGAAAGAGCATCAGCGACGACATCAAGTCGTCCTGGTTAATATTCGACGGAGAAGTTTTACTCCGAGAAGAAATACAGCCACCTCGCCATTCGTTGCGAGAGAGGTGGACTGTTTACGGCCGTGCGTAATGACGCATGGTCGGCATAAACGATGAAGGGCTTATCTCCTAAGAGATAGACCCGAAACTTAGCCAGTGCATATTTTCATGGCAAGGAGTTCCTTGTCATGCAATTGGTATTTACTCTCAGATGCTTGCAGCGGACGCGATTGATAACAGACGAAGCGTTCAATGCCGTCTGAGTCGTACTGCATCAACGCACAGCCGATTGCAAAGTAGCTGTCGTCACAGACCACATGGAATGGTCTATCCTAGTTTGCAATCGCCAACACAGGCGATTGTATCAAGCTTTTCTTGATACCTTCGAAGGAGTGCTGACACTAAGCACTCCATGAACACCTCTCGTTTTTCTTAACAGACGAGAGATATGAACGGTCATCTCGGCATAGCTGCGCGAGTACTTATGCAAGTACCCCGCTAAACCAAGGAACTTTCGAAGTCCCTTGACGTCGACTGGCACAGGCCAGCCGCTAATCGCCTTGATCTTTTCTGGATCAAGGTGTTCGCCGCTTTTACCCACGATGCAGCTAAGAAGTGGTATTTCGTTCGCTGCGAATACACATATCTTGAGGCTCGCAAACAACTGATGCTCACGCATAAGTGTAAGAACCTTCCGGATGTGGATTCTATGAACCTCCACGTCCGTCCTTCCATCCATAGCCCGGCTATGGACGAAGACATCGTCAAAGTAAGTTGGCGTGAAGTTTCGCACTGATCGAAACATGTTTGTAACACATCTGTTAAGCGTTGCAGGGACAATTCTTAGCCCCTAAGACATCATTAGCCACTCCCAGAGCAGGACAATGGGTGTGCCCACAGATGTGTACGGGACTTCCCGTTCACGCATGAGTATCTGATAAAATTTATCCATCAGATCCATGGACGAGAAGATGATACCTTTTGAACAGATGTGTTACAAACATGTTTCGATCAGTGCGAAACTTCACGCCAACTTACTTTGACGATGTCTTCGTCCATAGCCGGGCTATGGATGGAAGGACGGACGTGGAGGTTCATAGAATCCACATCCGGAAGGTTCTTACACTTATGCGTGAGCATCAGTTGTTTGCGAGCCTCAAGATATGTGTATTCGCAGCGAACGAAATACCACTTCTTAGCTGCATCGTGGGTAAAAGCGGCGAACACCTTGATCCAGAAAAGATCAAGGCGATTAGCGGCTGGCCTGTGCCAGTCGACGTCAAGGGACTTCGAAAGTTCCTTGGTTTAGCGGGGTACTTGCATAAGTACTCGCGCAGCTATGCCGAGATGACCGTTCATATCTCTCGTCTGTTAAGAAAAACGAGAGGTGTTCATGGAGTGCTTAGTGCCAGCACTCCTTCGAAGGTATCAAGAAAAGCTTGATACAATCGCCTGTGTTGGCGATTGCAAACTAGGATAGACCATTCCATGTGGTCTGTGACGACAGCTACTTTGCAATCGGCTGTGCGTTGATGCAGTACGACTCAGACGGCATTGAACGCTTCGTCTGTTATCAATCGCGTCCGCTGCAAGCATCTGAGAGTAAATACCAATTGCATGACAAGGAACTCCTTGCCATGAAAATATGCACTGGCTAAGTTTCGGGTCTATCTCTTAGGAGATAAGCCCTTCATCGTTTATGCCGACCATGCGTCATTACGCACGGCCGTAAACAGTCCACCTCTCTCGCAA